ACATACACACACACACACACACACACACACATACATATAAATATATATATATATATATATATATATATATATATATACACACATACATATATATACTTACATATATATATACATATATACATATTTACATGCTCTATAACATGTTGTATCAGTGCATGCCATGCCACCTAAATGGGTTGCATCAATGAGTTCACTATTTTAGTTGCATGACATTGTATGGGCTTTGCTGTTTGTCCACATCATTGCAAAAACAACTGCAGATGATTGGAATTATATATAAAAAATTCTGTTGTGCATGGGATCAGATTAGCAAAATATTTGCATGACCAACCTGAACATTTCTGCAGCACAAGCCATGCCACGTCTTATTGGAAAGACTGTTTTATTATATTAATGAATTCTAGCACCCCTTCCCCCCCTAATTACTCCATCCCCACTGAAATACAATATGACCTCCAGATTGATCTGACACACCTGAAACACCTTTGATCATCACCAATTCAGTCTCTGAAGCAGGGTTTGATGAGGTGATGATCAGCGCCAGCAGGAATCTCACTGTTGTCTGAAAGCACAGCGTGACCTCCACATCTCCATTTCAGCCAGGAGGTGCTTTTATGTCAGGCTAAAACGGGCTCTTCAGAAATAGCTACAAAACACTCACACTCTCAGCCCTGGCCTCGAGTCCAAGACGAAGAACCCAAGATCACCTAAAACACCCTTTATTTAGCAGCTGCTGTTTTGACTTAATTTCTGGAGAACATCTGATAAAAGTGAAGCCATCTCTGTATACCGTGTCCTCCTGTTTCGTAGAGTTCATTCTGACATACAGACTCCAGTAAGGCACATTTTATAATATGGCGTCTCTCATTCGTCCACCAGAAAATTAATGAGGGCAGTTCTGGGCGAGAGGATGGCTTTCTTAATGGTGCGGTCTGAGAGAAGACGGGCACCCAGAGGACTGTTCAATACCAGCTCCTGCAGCTTCTGGAGGTCATGAGCCACTTCACGAGGTACAGATACTTCCCCACAGGCCTTATTATTGATCTGAGGAGAAACAAGAATTGATGACGATAGAGTTACAAATTTAATACACAAGAATTAAAGTCATCATGAAATCAAAATAGACAATTCATACTTTTTCATTAACTAAATACTACTGTATTTATTATCAATCATATACAGTTACCATTTTTAAAATAATTCCCAAAAGAAGTTAAACAGAGCAAGGAAATATTCACAGTATGTCTATAATGATATTATTTCTTCTGGAGAAAGACATAAGTTTAAATATATGTAGATATATTTATGTATATATATATATCCATATAGGGATATAAATATATAATATATATATATATATATATATATATATATATATATATATATACATATATATATATATATATATATATATATATATATATATATATATATATATATATATATATATATATATATA